TGTTAGCAAGTGTCCAAAATTCGGCTGACAGCCGCAGCCGGCAGGCAGCTCACCCGTTCAGAAGGCCAGTGCCTCGCCGCCGGCAGAGGCCTGCGAGATCTTCAAACTGATGCAGGGTTTGTATGATGTCACGTGGCTTCACGTTCAGATGTTTACCGATTTATGTGTCGGAGTTTCGGGTTGAACGTTTTCCCGTGTATGCATGTGCCGTGTGAACGATGTCTTAAGTGCTAACAGGCACTCAGATTGTCCTTCCATGTTCATTGCGCGCTGCTAGTGGCTCATCATGTCATCACGCTGGGATGGGGCAGCGTCCTGATATGTGGCAGCTGAGAACAATCCTGCCTAGTCAAATTCAGCTTCTCACGGCCCGTTGCTAACACATTGCATGATGACCAGCATTGTTGCAGCGTTGGCGCACGAAGCTCCGGAGGATCGGCAGACGTGTCGCGAGCAACCCCTACAAGCATCCTCCAAACAAAGTGCGGCCGACAAATCTCCCGGACTGTCAACTAATTACATAATTTGGACAGTTTGGAAGTTTGCGGTCTGATCATGTCTGATCAAAAAATGACTATCGGAACTAGGCTGGAGGCTTCAAGATACTGCGATTCGCGTGTTGTGGGTGATCGTACTGATGAAAGTAGGGTCTGAAAGCGCGTCCAACGTATAGGAAGTACTTTGATAAGCAACAAATATGACAAGCACTCAGCTGAACTCTGCAGTTGTAAAGCTGGCAACCACACTGTAGGTGGCCTGAAGTTCCTAAAGCCCGATCTGCCAGAATGGCAAGCGCCTTCGTGACGGTCCGCACGCCAGAGAGTGGAAATTGCTTGGCATTCTGATCGTGCGAGTCGCTCCACAGGGATCTCAAACTATTGTGAAACCCCAGGCGGTCAAGCCACATCAGAATGCATCTCATCATGTCCGCCAAGTTTCAATTGTTGTACTTGACACGCCGAATGTTGCAGAAAGGTTGTCGCAGTTGTGAGATGGCCTCTTCGCAGAACAGCTGAGAACTTCACGTGGAACCCCAATGCGAAGAACCCTTCAAGCCTGTGCTGTGGCGCCGCGCACGGTCCGAAGCTCAAACCTCCAGACAAGCTTCAGGTGCTTCAGGTGCTTCAGGTGCCGACCGTGCTGCGAGGAAGGCCGTCCAGCGAGAGCCCTCAAAATTTCTGTGCAGGGAAACGGCTGAGGAAAAACACTCAAAGCCAGTAGGCGATCCAACGCTACTAGAATTTGCCTATAACTTCATGGTCTGGCGTTGGTGCAAGTTGGATCTGGTGGCAGACTCCATGCCTCTCACCTACGACACTTCCAGGGAATGCCAGCCGCTAGCTAGGCCTCTAGCTTGCTAGAAAGTGCAGGAAATTGCAGGAAAGTTGGGCATGAGAGAAGTCCAGGCACGGTGTCCGCTGAGTCGCCTCCTCCAAAAGTATGCTGTTCTGCAGGGCAGCCCACGGTCATCACCAGAGCGACGGAGGTTCGTCATCCACAACATCAGGTTTCCTTAGCTGTCGCATCCAAGACCCGGAAAGCAGCCCCACCACGGGTTCGGTTGATGGCATTCGAGTTGCTGCTTTAGGAATGGCATCAAACACACTCCAATGTGTTTGTCTGAGGTACCATCGTGAATGGATGACTAAACCTTGCAGCAAACTGCACGAGGCTCCCTAATGAGAGGAAGCAGGGTCCGGAAACCGATTTATTTGTCTTCGTTTCCAGAACGGATGTATGAAAGCAAGCAAGCAGTGTTTTGCAGAGCAGCTGCTAAGGAATGCTTCCCAAAGGCACATGTAAACGAGAAGCTCCTCAAAGCTCATGAAGTCCTAGCATGACTGCGGCTGGTACTACTTCCATCAAGAAAGCAAGTAACATGGCTTCCAAGTGCGTCTGCCCTGGCAAGGAAACGCTGCAGCCGCTCACCCGATGCGGTGCATCCCAGGATATCACTGCGCGGGGTGTTACTCGGAATTCCATGCTGCGGCAGGTGACCCACCAGAACGTGTTCAGTACAGCAGCACCACAGCAGTTTAAGTTCAGTCAGTACCACAAGAATTATGTACTGTGTTTGTGTTAGTGAGGGTCAGGCTGGTCAACTGCACATCGTGAGACAGTGGAAGGCTGAAGGAGGCAACACCCCCTGGTACATCCTGGCAAGTACTGCACAACACAGGCTTCACGAACAAAGTCCAATAGGTGCCCGAAAGCGTTTTTACGGTGATGCTTTGACCCCTCAACCCGAAACTACAAAATGGTGCTTTATGTTGTCCATGTGGGGTGCTGCACCGTCCACCGTCCTGCACCCCCAAGTCTTATGTACCGTGCACAGGCAAGTGTTAAGTTAAGCTGTACTTGACAACAAGTTACAATTGGATAGCTGCAATTATGATATGTCCATATAACTCGCGGCAACTTCAAACTCCTAGAAGCCCAGCCTAGCCTAAAGCGTCACTGGGAGCTACTTTGCCGTCGCTTCTTGCGGTCAAGGCGATGTGCGGAAAGCCTGCAGAAGCCTACACAAATCTACACTTGTCAAAGCTGACCATCTAGCCAAGCAAGCCTGTCAAGATATCACAGTCCGAAGCCGGCAAGTGTGCAGCTGTGCTGCCAGCTTTCAACGCTGCGCCAGTGAGGAGCCCTACTCCCCGTCCCATTGCGACGGCCCCGAAGGCCCGCTCAATCCGCGTTGGGAGGTGTAGAGGGCTTTGAAGATCAGCTTCATGCACTTCGCGGCATGCCCGACAGACTTCGACAGCCCAAATGTGCCCATCTCCTCGCCCCGATCTTTTGCAAGGGTGGCATCTTGGCACCGGCAAATTCTGAAACCCAAAAGCCAGGCGGCACCAAAGTCCCGACGAAGGCGGCCCGAGGCGAGGCGATGGGAAGGCTTCAGGTCTTAAAGGCTGCGTTGGGTACAGGTTGTCACGTCTCATCCGGGACCTGACCTTTGTGTTTGCATCTGTGTTTGCATCTGAATACAGTATACAGACGAAAAAAGCGCCATTGGAGGAGTCACCAGCGCCAGAGCCTGGTTCTCAGATGCTCTATGCTGGATGTGGAGTGTGGATGTGGAGTGTCATGTAAGCCTTCTGCATATCGATTGTATGAAATGTACTGCTTACCTTGCGTAGTTTCTAACTGCCTCAGGCCGTCTCCACCTGCAGAAGAGGCTCGTCAGCCTCACATACCGTTTTACATGAGCTTCTTGTGAGTTCAGGGCCTCGTATGGGGAGCTGGGGCCTCGACGGCCTTGACGGCTGCCGGCCCGCCTTTGCCCCCTCCCTCCCCCCACTGATGTTGGTTTTAACTTGCGTGTGGTTTTCGCAGTCCCACTGTCTGTGTCGTGGACTTTCCCCAGCCTGCTCTCCGCCCTAGCACTCTTCTGAGGCCTGTGTCAAGATATGGCAAGGCCACACTGTGCCACACTTTTCGCTAGAAGGTACTGCCACTCATCAGCACAAGCAGTGCCCATCAGGAAGCAATTTGCCGCTTCAGTTACTTGTGAAGCTTCTTGCAATGACCACAATAGCGAACGACATGCATGGAATGGTTGCAAGCACACTATTACACATCCGCCGATATCCACGTCAACAAGCTGAAAGCTTCCGCCTCCCGGCAAGGCACTGGAGGAGCGGTCAGAGGCACCAAAGCGAAAGAAGAGGCAACGCTACGTGGAGTACCTCCAGGGGACCGTTGGGGGTGCGCAACACTTCGAGTCGTTCGGGTTTGGGTTTAGGGCAGTTCACCACGTCTTGCAAATCGATCTCGCCGTTTTGTCGTCACACGCCATACCTTCTTTCACTGGGCCTCCACTCTCCGAATCAAGCCCGTCCTGAGTTATCGGTGGAAGCTGTTGGGCGTGGAGAGCTGTCGTTCAATACCCCGTCAGGGCTGGGGCGGAGCCATGGGGGCGTGTGGGGGGGGGGGGGGGGTTGGTGAAAATATCGCGGCTCCGGCTCGGCGTCCCCCACCCAATTTCGGCCCCAGGGCGGTTGCCCAAAACGGTTTTTTGGAGCATTTTTCGGGTCCTCGGCGTGGTCTTGATGCTGCTGATGCTCGCCGTTGGCGGCACCACCGCGGGTCGCCTAAAGCCTACATCTGCTTGTTCTGCTTGTTCTGAACGCGTCTCCTAGGCCCAGGTATGCTGGTCGTGCACGGCCCCCACGAACGCCAGCCCGGGGAAGGAAAAAGAGGGCATCACGGAGCTTACGGAGCTTTCGTTTCTGCCTGCTATCAAGTCACATTCCAAAAACGATCTCGTTGTTCCAAGTTCCTGTTAAGCTCTGGCTTCGCTTCCCTGTATTCCCTGTCTAATCTTGTGAAACCACAGGCTTGTGCCGGTGGGTCTTGACCGTGTGCAGAGCTGTTCGCATCCTATCCGCGGCTTTTTAGGCCTTGATCCAGATATAGCTACTGGCAGGCAAAAGGTGAGAGCCTGTAGCAGCCCAGAGCATCAGGGTTGCTTAGTGGCACCGGAGCCTGAGCAATCTTTCCTTGGACCCTTGCTGCGCTACCTGCCGACTTCGCTTTCTTCTATCACTTTGCGGCCAGTGCTACAGCAGTGTGTCCCCGGACGGTGTCCACCTCCTCCGCGAGTTCCTTCTGGCACGGCCTGCGGCGAAGCTCCCGCAGACCATCGGTGCCGGGCCTTTGCTGTGTGCTGCTGCACCCTTTTGGCAGGCCCTTGGACCTTGGCAGGTGGACGCCTGAAACAGGAGGCTGTGGCCCTCTTGCCTTTTCGCCTCAGTGCCTACTACCTCTTCTTGGTTTTCCGTGGCTGTCCGGACTGCTCCGGCTTCTTGAGCCCTTCTTCGAAAACCTTTGCGCCTTGAGGACCTGGCTGCCTGGATTGGTCCAGCTTCTTTGGCTTGGGCTTCTTCGAGGCCTCTTTTGGGTGGAGCTAGCCACCCCGCTGTGAACTTTGACTTTGAGTTTTTCCTTTTGGCAGCAGCTAGGCTGCCTGGCGCTACGAGTCCGGCTCCGTCTTTGCAGAGATGGCCGAAGATGATAAGACAACGTCTGCTTGGTACAAGGTGCCAACGTGGGACGGGAGCCCTGTGACTTGGAGGGCGTTCAGCAAAGAGATGCAATGGTGGGTTTCTTCCTTGGACTTGGAGAGCACGAAGAAGTTCAACTTAGCAGCGAGGTGGCTGTTACGGCAATCGGGCGTTGTGCGACAGCGCGGGGAAGAGTTCACCCCTGCCGAGCTTGAGTATCAGAAGGAGGTCCGTGCAAAGGATCCCGATGGCGTGGAGATTGTCGTGACCAAGGAGGACCCCCTTGCAGGCTTGAACAAGTTGCTGAAGGCGCTCGAGGGCATCAACGGCAAGAGTGCTTTGGATAAGAAGGGCGAGCTGCGAAAGCTCTTCTACACAGAGCTCAGCAGGAAGCCGGGCGAGAGGCCAGCTGACTTTATGTCGAGATTTCGCTTCCTGGCCGCTGAGCTGAAGAGTGAAGGAATAGCCCTCCCTAGTTCCGAGTTGGGCTGGTTTCTGAAAGAAAAGTTGGGGCTGGATCCGTTGAGGAAGCAGTTGCTGGAGACGGCTTTGCAGGGCCGGGAAGGCTTCGAGGATGTCGAGGCTGAAGCCCTGCGGCTTTTCAAAGACCTTCACGCCGCAGACCCCTTGATGAGACGCGCGGGAGCCCCTGACCTCAGAGGCCGCGGCCGTAGCTTTGGCGGCTTTGGCGGCACACCGTCCTCTTCGACCACCTTCTCCGTGTACCGTGGCTCTGGAGCATTAAGTTCTGTGCCGGGCCGTTCTTCAGGCAGCGTGACGCCAGCGCTGAAAGGCGGCGGCAAGGCAGGCTCGTTTGCGCCGAGGCGGCCGTTTCTTGGATATCGGTCGCGGCAAGCCTTTGCAGCCGAGCAGCTTGGCGAGACTGAGGGCGAGCCGGGCGAGGAGGCTGAGGATGAAGAGCTTGTTCCCGAGGAGGAGGGCAACGGCGTCTCCTTGGACGATGTGCTTGAGGCTGAGGCCGAGGCCTTGGCGACGGAGCTGGAGCAGGCTGAGGCCGAAGGACTGGAGCCGCAAGTGCTAGACGAAGTGGAAGGAACGGTCGAGTCTGCTGCCGAAGCTCTCTTGACTATGCGCGAAGCGCGCCACAAGCTTCAGGATCTGCGCAAGGACCGCGGGTTCGGCAAGGCTACTTCGGCACCCTCGTCACCGCAGTCCGGGAGGCCTGGCTTCAAGAAGCGTGGGGTTTGCCACGATTGTGGCCAGCCAGGCCATTGGGCTGGCGACCAAGGCTGCTCAAAGCCGGGCGCTGGCCTGGCTCGACCCAAGTCTTCGGCGAGGCCGGGGGCGACACCCTCGCAGAGTTCCCCGTCACATCGTCGGGTCCAGTTGGTCGAGTCCTTTGCGGCCGAGGCGACGCAGGAGCAGCGTGAAGACCCCGCAGTCTACCATGAGACCGCTGTCGTTTCGTCTTGGAGTTCCTTTGCAGAGGCGCTTGAAGCAAGCCAGCCGCATGAGACGCAGAGCGCTTTGGCCGTGGACAAAAGACTTGTGGGGGCGCTTGACAGTGCGTGCAATCGCACCGTGTGTGGCCGTCGCTGGCTGGAGGGCTACTTGCAAGCTCTTGCTAGTTCTCCCTTGTGGCAGGCCTTGCAGCCCCTTGTGAAGACGGAGGTCGAGCGGGAGAACTTTAAGTTCGGGAATGACGGAGTGAAGGCAAGCTACTCACGACATCGGCTTCCCATGGTTGTTGGCAGTTCCTGCGTGTTAGTTTGGACCAGTGTTGTCGAGGTCGAGTCTTTGGGCCTCCTCCTTGGAAGGGACTTCTTGGAGGCCATCGGAGGAGTGATCAGCTTTACTAGAAGGGCTTTGCGAGCGGATCATCTTGATGCTTCTCGAATTCCGCTTCGGCAGCTCTCGGCAGGTCACTTCTTCCTCGACATCTTCCCGGAGACCTGGAGCACCTCGGCGAGACCGTGGCGACGCGAAGGCCAGGACGGGATACTGGAGGTTCAGCTTAGCTCGTTCGAGTGGAGCCTTCGCCGTGCAGCAGCAGTCAAGGGCCCCCCTGTGAATGGTCGTGAGCATGAACAACTAGCGGTTGAGCAAGCACGGGGCCCACATGCTGGCCACAGTGGTTCGAGAGTTTCAAATTCGATGACCAAGCCGGTACTGACTGCGCCTCTCCATGTTGCGGCTAGACACAAGCAGGGCGGGCCGTGTGGCCGGGCGGTTCCGAAGGATGTGTTTGCGCCTCCTCGAAAGAAACGTGTGGCACTTCGCTGGGCTACTGCTTTGGTTGCTGCAGCGGCCCTTGCTTCGGTACGTGCCCCTGCCGTACAGCAACATCCGGTCCCCATCGGCCTGGAAGGAGCAAGCCGAAGCCATGGTGCGGAGTGGAGCCCTGCCACGGCGGCATTTTCGTGCAGCTGCCCTCGAGAACAAGTTCGAGGACCTGGGGTTGCTCAAGGACGCGGGCTACTTGAGGGACAGGATGGGCGTCAATCTGGCGTTTGTCGAAGATCCCATGTTGGATGGAATGCTGGCAGCTCGCCACACCAAAGGAGTTCGAGCCGCGATCCACAGCCAGCTGGTGGACAAGTTGAAAGCCGAGGCGATCGCGAAAAAGACCAAAGCCGAGCAGCTGACCGCTGCGCGGGCCTTGCTGGGTCCCAAGGGTGGTTTGCCTACCTTGAAACAGGACCTCATCCGTCTGGCCGCGTTGCTGCATGTGGAGGTGAACGACAACGACACCGTCGAGAAGCTCAAAACAAAGTTGCGCCCGACTCTCGACGCGCTTCGGGGCATTCCGCTTCCGTCGGCTCAGGTGGCTACATCCTCGGCGACGGCGGCTTCAGCAGAACTTCCTGTACCACGCTGCGAACCCGAAGGGCAACTACAGCCGACGATCGAGCACCGGACGGCCGGACCGATGCAGCCGCCGACCCCTTCACAAGACGAGATCCTCCAGCAGGTGAGTGCAATGGTCGAGGCCCGTATGCAAGACCGCGACAGCCGGTTCGAAGCTATGCTGCACCAGACGATGCAGCACATGATGATGATGTCGAGCAGCAGCGGCAGCCGGCCACTGGATGGGGAAGGTGGCCTGTCACCGGACAGCGATATGGGCTTCCAGCAGATGACGAACGAAAACGAGCTGTAATTCCTCCTCTTCGGCAACAACTGAAGACGGGACAACGGCTGCTGATATCCCAGGCCTGGAACAAGTGCAAGCATGATCGCAATCTTCTCAAGGTGAGCCCGCAAAACATCTATGAGGCCTTTGCAGTGCTGCAGGACCAGGTTTATGACAATGCTCTCCACGAGCCCTTCATCGACATGGCGTTCGTGCCTCACCCTCATGACCGGGCCCCTTTGGCCCCTGACTTGGTCAAGTTGGCGGCAGCTCGTGGGCACGCTGTGGGCCAGCTGCAGGCCGATCTATGTGTGAAGCCGTACTTTCTGATGTTGCGGGCGACGGGCAGATCGCCCCTCCTGAACTACGCCCCTGAACAGACCAGACTCGCCGCTGAAAAGAAAATTTTGGATGCCGAGGCGTCTGTGATGCATGCAGCCCTGGCACATCGGCGGTCTGGACGGCACTTCTTGATGGAGCTTCTTCGCGGAGCCGACCCGCATCGTACACTGGAGGGCCGGGAGCTGATGGATGAGGCGGGCCTTTTCGACTTTTCCCGAGAAGGTCGGCGCTATTTGACATCGAGCCGGGTCGTGGCAGATGCTTTTCGGGACCAGCGTGACGAAAACCTTGTGGAAGCAGTGCTGGAGGCGGTCCAGCAACAGTTTGACAAGGACCTCGGCCCCGAGAAGGTGACTGAGACCCTGGCAGCAGAGACGGCTGTGGACGATGACGATTTGCTTGACGGCCTGGGCGGCACAATGGAGTCTGAGGACGAGGCGCTCGAACCGAGCCAGGACCCCGAAAAGGAGGTGCCAATCCCTGCTTCTGTGAGGCAGGCTGTGAGGCGACTGCATGAGAACACGGGCCACAGGAGCCCTTTGCGCTTGGCAAGAGCGCTAGTCATCGCAGGCGCCCCCCCGCAGGCCGTGATAGCAGCCAAGCAACTTCGATGCAGTGTGTGCGAGGAGAGGCGGCCCCCCAAGTCCCGTCGCCCTGCCTCGTTGCCGGGCCCACGCGAGCCAGGTGAACAAGTGGCCCTGGACATCTTCGATGCATTCGATGCTGCGGGCGCCAGGTACTCTGTTTTGCATGCCGTGGACGGTGCTACAAAGTTCCAAATGGCCGTGCTGGTGAAAAACAAGTCCAGCGCCGAGGTGGTGAAGTTCATACGGGAGCGTTGGGCGCCGGTCTTCGGCATGCCCCGGACCTTGGTGTGCGATCAAGGGCGGGAATTCATAAGCATCGAGCTGGAGAACTTCGCCCATCAGAGCAACATCTTCATGTATCACACAGCCATTCAGGCCCCTTGGCAGAATGCCTTGTGCGAGAGAGTTGGGGGGTTGCTGAAGACGTTGCTTAGTGCGTGTGCTATGGCCCAGTCGCTGATGGGCCCCGATGAGATGGCATTGGGACTGGGCGAGGCGGTGCAGGCCTACAATATGGATGTAGGAGACAGTGGCTTTTCGCCGATGCAGGCGGCTGTGGGACGCCAGCCACTTCCTCCTGGCGATGCACTGGCTGAAGGCCGCTTGGGTGAAATCGAGGCAATGGGCCAACCAACGTTTGCTCGCTTGGTAGCAATTCGCGAAACCGCTCGCATGGCCATGCTCCGGCTGCACTTCAGCCGGGCCCTTCGCAAGGCCGAGGCGGCGAGATCGCGGAACCCTACGGTGGCAGATGCGCCCGCGGTCGGCGACCTGGTCTACTACTGGCGGGAGCAGAAGTACAACCGTCGAGGAGGCCAAGACAAACGGAAGCTGCTTTTGCGGAAGTGGCATGGGCCAGGGCTGCTCGTCGCTTTCGAGGGGAATAACTGCTATGTGACCTCGAGGGGGACTTTGACAAAGGTGGCCTTGGAACATGTTCGGCGGGCTTCTCCGATGGAACAGATCGCCACGGGTGAGTGGGAGGCTGTTCTGAAGGAAGTTGTGGAGGCTGCTGAGCGAGACCAAGAGTGGGAGCTCGTGGTCCCACAGGACGGCAGCGCTGAAGGACGTGAGCCCACGGGAGAGCAAGGCCCTAGACTCTCTTCTTCAGCATCGCCGGCAGTTTCAGCTCTGCCTGGAAGCCCTGATCTCGACGATGCGAACCTGCTGGCCGATCAGACAGCTGGTCTTCTGGAAGGCGCTGGACTCTCTTCAGAACCGCCGGCAGTTTCAGCTCTACATGGAGATGATAGTGCCCCGCAGAGTTTCCGTGACCAGCTTCAGGAAGCGATGCGGAAAGCTCGTGACCAGCGTGGCCGTGATCTACCTCCTGTGTCTCCGGGCGAGCTTGTCAGGGCCACTGCCTCGGAGGGTGGAGCTGGGTCGCGCAGGCCATCTACCTTGTTGGGCCAAGTTGCTTCAGGTGGGTCTTCGCGTGCGCCAGGTACTCCCTTGCTGGATGTGATTCGGCGGGCTGGAGCAAATGCGGAGGAACATTCACCTTCAGAGCCGTTTGCAGAACAGCCTGAGAACTTGTCAGGCACCAAGCGGCCGGCTGAAGTTGAGGCCGAGACTCTTAGGAGCCAGCAGGGCGACCAAGTGCCTTTTGACGCCCTGACTCTGGAAAAGGAGCTCGTGCTTGAGGCTGCCCAGGCGAAGCAAGGCAGTGTGCACCCGTTGGTTCAGCTGCAGGCCCAAGTTGCGATGGACAAGGCGGCTGGCGAGGACCTTGAAGCGAACGACCATGGCACGTGGGATGGTCGATGGCCGCTGCCCCGTCGCTCAGAGTACGAGGCTTTCGTGAAGGCGGGCTTGAAGTGGCCAACGGGAAGAGAAGCGCTGACTGTGCAGGCGGCTCGGAAGGAGTACCACTGGCGCTCCATGACCAAGGAGCAGCGAGATGCCTTTCGCGAGGCAGCCGTTGAAGCTTGGAATGTTTGGACTCGCAACGACGCCGTCGAGACCTTGAGCGAGGAGGAGACGGCCCGGACATTGGCGACCTTAAGGCAACGGGGAGAAATGCACAAGATCCTCACCCCTCGCTATGTGTTTACGGACAAAAATGATGGGCTACGAACCTCATCGAATCCGCTGCCAATCAAGGCGAGTGCGAGGCTGGTGGTGCCGGGCTATAAGGACGTGACTGCCTTTGACCTTCGCAAGGATGCGCCGACTGCTTCGCGAACTTCACAACACCTACTCTTCAGTTTGGGTTCGAGCAACTTCAAGAAAGGCTGGAGAACGGGCACTGCCGACGTCAAAAGTGCTTTTCTCAAAGGCGAGCGCTACGTGGATGGAGTTCGCGAGCTGTACTTGCAGAACATGGAGTCCAGAGACGGCAGTCCGACACTTCCGGTTGGCAGCCGCCTCAGCCGGATTGTCAAGGGGGTGTTCGGCCTGAGTGACGCTCCCCGCGAATGGTACTTGAGGTTGAAGAAGAGTGTGAAGCAAGAAAAGTGGACTCAATCCACAATGGATGCTGCGACTTTCTTCCTTTGGTCTGAAGGACCAAACCCGGAACTCCTCGGAATGATGTGCTGCCACGTCGACGACCTTCTCATCACTGGCAGCGCCGAAGCTTGGGCCTCGATAGGCCGATTGGGCGAGGAGTTGGGTTTTGGCTCCGTCGAAAAGGACAGCTTCGTCTACTGCGGAAAGAAGGTTGCCCAAGACTTGAACACAGGCGTGATCAGCGTCTCCATGGAGGCCTACGTGGACAACCTGTCCCCGATCAGGGTGGCAGCGAGCCGCCGACGAGACATGGACGCTGCTCTCACTCCGGGAGAAGCCAAGCAGCTACGAGCCTTGGTGGGATCCCTCCAGTGGCTTGTAGCACAAGTGCGGGCTGACATGGGCTTCCACCTCAGTGTGCTGCAGGCCGAGACGCCGTCCGTTGGCGTGATGATCAAAGCCAATGCTCTCGTGAAGGAGTTCAAGGCGACTAGGGATTTCATGCTGAAGTTCAGGCCAATGAACTTGGAGGGCGCCGGCATCGTAGTTGTCTCTGATGCATCCCTAGGAAATGTCACGCGTGGTGGCGCCGTTGGCGACAAGCCGCTTGAGAGAGTTTACTCTCAGAGCTGCTATTGTGTGTTGCTGGCTGAGCGCGACTTGTTGCAGGGCAGCTCTGGAAGGTTCACTCTGCTGGACTACCGCAGTCACCGTTTGCAAAGGGTGTGCCGAAGTACCTTCGCTGCCGAGCTGCTTGGAGTTGAGGAAGGCTTTGACATAGGCCAGTACTGTCGCGGCCATTGGGCTGAGGCCCTCGGCTACGACTTGGCGCACAAAGGGGTCGACTGCATCTTGGATACAATTGGCCTGGTTGTCGTGACGGATGCCAAAGACACCTTTGACAAGGGGAACTCTGATACTCCCTCGTACGGAAGCCAGAAATCGTTAGCTTTCAGCATCGCCTGGCTCCGAGGGATGCTGGCCAAGCCGAATGTCTCCCTGCGCTGGACAGAGACCAGCAACATGTTTGTAGACGCCGGCACAAAGGATATGTGCGGCGCCCACATGCGGGACACCTTGATGGCGGGCGAATGGAGCTACCGCTACAACGCGAAGTACGTGAAGCAGACGATCAAGACGAAGCCCAAGGTGCGCCCAGGACCTGAAGTAGTGAGCGGAGAGGAAGTGAGCCCGACAGATCCTGTGATGGGATTTCTTCAGGGGTTCGCCACGAAACGTGGCTGGCACCGTAAAGATGGCCTGGCCATACAGGTGGCCCACGGAGCTCGAAGTTACAGACGCCCCGAGCCCAGGTTTGAAGCAGACATGTATCCTCTCCGGACTTCGTATGCCCTTTTCCATGATCAGCAGGGTCGTGGAAGCTGGCGCATCCTTGAAAGGGATGTGCGATACGGTCGCATTTTGCGATCTCTTGACAAGGAAGCTGCAGTTCTGATCACGGTGTTCAAGACCCCAAAAGAAAAGAAGATCAATGTGAAACCACAGGCTTGTGCCGGTGGGTCTTGACCGTGTGCAGAGCTGTTCGCATCCTATCCGCGGCTTTTTAGGCCTTGATCCAGATATAGCTACTGGCAGGCAAAAGGTGAGAGCCTGTAGCAGCCCAGAGCATCAGGGTTGCTTAAATCT